GACTGGGAAAACACTTCCCTCCCCTGCTGGGGTCGCACGGCCCGCGTCCCTCCGAGACCAGGGACAAACCTGTCTCGGGGCAGTCCACGTATCGGTCCTCGAAGATCACAGGCAGGGTGCTCCAGTCGCCGTCGATGTCCAGGCACTCGGCGGGCAGCGGGGGCATGCTGGCCAGGTACTCCGAGTTGCGGACCTCCAGGGACAGCTGGCTGTGGGACTGCACCCTGGGACACACGGGCAGGAGAGCGCTGCAGGGGCTGAGCCAGAGCCAGGGGCCCGCGCGGAGCCCGGGCCTGGCGGCCCCGCTGACGTCAAGGCCGCGCGTCCCCGGCCCCGGGGCCGGCCTCCAGCCTCCGCAGAGGCTGTACGTTCCCACGTCTATTTTATCTATTCTGGTGCAGTGGTTAGGGTCGCGCCTGGACACTGTAAAGGAAACGCGCCAAGGCGGCCGGGAGTGCGCGTGTTCCCGGAACCCCGCCAAGTCCACGCGGCGTCCCATCTCGCTGTGTGATCTCAGAGAGGTCACTCAGCTCCTCTGAGCCCCGCTTCCCCAGCTCCTTCCTCTGCAAATGGGGTCCGGTAACAGCACGACCTAGGGGCGAGGTGGATGTGAGTGAGCGGGGGTGGGGGGTGGGGGGGCCTGAACCGGCCTCCCAGGGGGCCTCACGGGCTAAGCGCGAGGCTGCAGAATACACGGCGGCACAGGCTCGTGCAGCCTCTGCCCAGCGCCAGTGCAGCGCTAACTGCTGCTGGAGGCCAGCACGAGGAGCCAGAGGGGTGTGGGCAGGCCTGAGCCCACCAGGAGCCCCCAGGAGTCCCCAAACACCGAGTGCCAGAGCGAGTCAGGTCTCTGCTTTCCTGAGCACATGCACAGGCCTGGCCATGCTTCTTCTCTCGTTTTCTCCGTCCACCCTTGGACTGTTTCCCTTTACTGGTCACTACTGAAGCGAGCTCACCTCTCGCCTCTTCCCCCAGCATGAGCAGCACCTGGGGACAGCGTCTATATCCGCCTCGCACCCCATCCCAAGGGCCACCCGGACGACGGGCCCAGACCCAGCGCCCACCCCGGGCTCCCGAGCACGGGACGGCTCTCCCGGAGCCCAGCACAGGCGGCCCTGGGGCTCTCATCAGGCCGCAAAGCAGCCTCCGGCCACTTTAGGGAAGGCAGCCTAAACGAGGCTAAAAAGAATAAAAACAGCAACTGAAAAGTAATCCAGGACCCACCCACCGCCAGCCAGCAGCTAGAGCGACAGGACCCTGGCGGGGCGCCCCCTGCCCTGGCCGGCCTGATGTCCGCGTGAGGACCCAGGCCGCCCTGGGGGGCCCGCCTCCCTGGCACAGCGGACTGCCGGGCCGGGCCGGCCTACCGGGGCCCGGGAGCGGGTCTCCGAGGCCAGGTTCTCCTGCGAGGCTGTCACGTTATATCTAAATTTGTCTGATGAGCGCCTCGGAGTTTAGTTTTAGAAACTAAATGGGTTATTCTGAGCTGGGGCTGGGGGAGCCTCGGGGGTAGAGACTGGCGTTTCTGGACAAGCTCGCTCACAGCGGATGTCCTGTGGCCCCCACTTGCAGACCCGCCGGGAAGCCGCATTTCGGGGCGCTTTCCCAGCACGTGTGTGGGGGGCCGCTTCCTGGCCTGCCGGGGGCGGTGGGGGGGCTCGGGATTCCGGAGACAGCGGGGCCTCCCATGCGCCATCACCCACCCACCTCGCCCCTGGGGGGTGGATCCTCTGGCCAGTCCCTGGCTGTGGGAGGAGCTGACTGTGTCCGGGAGGAAGGGGGGCCTGGAGGCCGACTCCTCCCCCAGTGCGGGCTTGTTCTTTTGCGGACGCTTCACAGCCCCTGCCGAGGCTCAGGGAGGCTGTTTCCTGGGGAGCTGGTGCCCACACCACCTGCTCCTACTCCATGCTGCAAAGGGGTCCCGGAGACGTCTGCAGGGCCAGGGGAGCCTGGGGGCGCCCAGCATGAGGGAGCCCTGCCACGCCTCGGACTTGCGCCCGCACAAGGGGAGACCTCTCTTCTCCAACGTCGGGGACGGGAAGTGTCCCTGGACAGGGCCTGGGGTGGGACCCCGAGGGCGGGGGGTGGCCTG